CATCGTTGTCATTGCCCTTCTCCGATGTGACAACAGTTGGCTAGATTTTTCTCCAGCAACCATTCAATGTAGATTTTTTCAATTCACGACGGGACTCTTCGATGTTGTCTATGCAATTACCAATGTTGTAATTTTTCCAACATTGTGTTAAAGTTAGCTTCGAGTCACTTTCCAAATTATCTAATAACTTCTTAAAAGTTATTCTGGTATAATATGCTTTAAATGCAGATATAATACCTTGATCTAAAGGCTGAATAAGGGAAGTTGTATTGGGAGGCAAAAACTCAATCTTGACATTTTCATTTAAGCTTTGTAGTCGGTTAGTAGGGTGACCGGGAGCATTATCTATCAACAACAAAACTTTAAATGAAATATTGTTCGTTTTTAAATAATTCTCTACTTCTGGTATAAAATAATTTTGTAACCAATCTACAAAAATGTCTCCAGTGACCCAAGCACGACTATTCGACCTCCAAAATACAGGTAATTTTCGTTTATCTTTATTTTTTAATGCTCTAGGATTTAATGATTTATAAACCAATAACGGTTTGGTAATAAAATCTCCAGATGCATTTGAACAAAGCAGCAGAGTAAGACGATCTTTAGCCATCTTAAAGCCAGGGGCGGTTTTTTCATTTTTTGATATGAATGTTCTTGAAGGCATTTTTTTCCAAAAGAGACCAGTCTCATCAGCATTGAATACTTGTTGTGGGAGATAACAACCGTCTTCAATTATCCTCATTAGACGGTCTGGATATAGTTTTGCTGCTTCGTGATCGGCTGAAGCAGACTCTCCCTTCAATTTCAAACTATGAAGGCTGTGCCGATTTTTAAATTTGTCGAACCATCCCTTACTTGCAACAAATGGTTTCAGTTCACTATTTGACGAAGAGGATTCATTTTTCAGAAAATTATCGTATAGTTTTGTAGCTTTGTCTCTAATTATAACAGAGCTTAGAGCTACTCTTTTTTGAGTTTGATCCTCAATGCACAAAGCTAACGCGTTTTCCACCTTTTCTGGAGTACGTAACAAATTTTGAAGATTCACGGACTGAGGATTCGATACTTTTTCGAATTTTTTCTTTACTTTGGCGAATAATTCGTATAGAAGATTCGTTAACGCTATTTTTTCTGGCCACTTCTGCTACAGTCATTTTTTTGTCTAAATCATCTAATATTGCACATTTTTGTAACAGTGATAACACTTTTCTAGATCGTTTAGAATCTGCCATATTAGTTGCCTAAAATTATTTACAAAAAATTGAATGCAAAATGAACAACACTCAAAACTAAGGAAAAAAGGAATTTATAGGAACATAATCTAAATACATTTCTACTTAAAAAAGTATATATTTATATAAATCATGTCTTACCATTTATTATAAAAAAATTGTTGAAACACAAACGACACCTCTTTGTTTCAAAACACAAGATTAATTGGAACATATACGCTGTAACACTGCAAGAATTGCACGAGAGTTTCAAACGACGCCAACGAGTCGCGCGCCCTTACGTCGAGCGCCTATGCGCCGCGACGCCACGTGTAAAATTTCTGGTGAAGCAACCGTGTAAAAGTGAATCGACCACCGCGTAAGTTAAGCTTTGGTGTCCAATTCTTAACCGCATTAAAGCGAATCCGCGTATAAAAATACCGCGTAAAATGAGGGACTACTGTATTACAAATATTGTTCAAACTAGCCTTCTTCTGCTAGAATACATGCTTCACAACGACGAATTAAAGAGTTCTTCAGATGAATTAAAATGTCTGGTTGATTTCTTATTTCAGTAGCAGCCATTTAGCAGAAAACAGCACGCCAAACATAGCACGCCATTTCAGTGAGGTCACCCGGTATACAGTGAAGTCGGTTTCACACGCTTTAATTTGTAAGCAACAAAACTACAGAAAATTCGACGATTATATTGATTCTAGAGGTCGAACAATTTGAAACATAGCATACAATTGAAAAATTAGCGTAAATAAATTGTCTTGCTCCAATTTCGTAAAGGCTGTCTTACCCTCATATTAAATCTTACCATCAGTCTTACTCATTAGATCTTACCATGGGCAAAGATGATCATTATCTATCCTGTTCTGATAGCTTGTGGGCATGAAGCTTGCTTGACCTCTTGCATAACAGTGGCTAGATCCTCAAGAGTATTTCCAAGTCCCATGTTTACGTATCTCTGTACCTGTCTACCGTACATTTCCCAGTTAGGTGTTTCTTCTGTGTGACAGCGGTTGTGGTTTTGTCGTCGTTCAGTTTTTATATTATTAAATTACATCTTCCAAAAACATGCTTGATTATTGGTGTTTTATATAGACCCCCCCAATCAAACGTGGACATATTTGTTGAGGTTCTGGATTCGTGTATATCTCAGTTTTTACCAATATGTGATGATTTGATGATTGTAGGTGATTTCAATATTAATGTTTTGGATGGAGACGCGCCGTCTTCCAGGCTTTTAGAGGACCTCATGTGTGCGTACGGTTTGCTTCAGATTGTGAACTCACCTACTAGGGTAACTGCCTCTAGTTCTACGCTTATTGATCTTATTTTGGTGACGGAAGGTATTGCGGTGCGGGAATTTTTTAAATTCTCGGATCACTTTTTCACTTTCTGCACCATTTTGCATAAACACTTCAAGCCCCCTCTACTCTTTAAAACTGTCTGGGATTATGGCTCTGCAGATCGGGTTGCTCTTGAGAGGGACCTGGGGATGCTGCCGTGGATGGATATTATTTATACGCAGGATGTTAACGATAAATTGAGAATTTTTAATGAGCTGCTGCTCTCAGTGTTTTATGTACACATTCCTAGTAGAGTGGTGAGAGTATCCAGCCCTCGGCCTCCTTGGTTGACGACCACTATCTTCGTGATAACTCGTATAAGAGATTCAAGCATACGAGGCTGGATTCTCATAAGGATTATTATAAAAGCTTAAGAAACTATATTACAGCCGCTATCAGAAGGGAAAAAAGGGCCTACTTTGACTCGCAGCTTTCCCCAAACACTTCCTCCGAGTATTGGCGTCGCATTAGGGAAAACGTAAATATTACTAAAGGTAAGGGTATTATCCCGGAGTCGTTGGCCAATGCAAATGAGATTGCGAGTCACTTCGGCGGCGCTGTTCCTCAAACTGATATCGACTGTGATGTGTATCAATACTACAATAACAACAAGGCTACTGCTTTTCAAACTGAATTCTCCTTCTGGGCTATAACGGAGAACGATCTATACTCCACGTTGATTAGTATCTCTTCCAATGCCGTTGGAGTCGATGGCATAGCACTAAAATTTGTTAAGATGTGTTTTCCTTTTATATCTAGATATATTTTACATATCGTAAATTTCTGTTTAACAGAAAATGTATACCCTACCATCTGGAAACAGTCTATTGCAGTTGCAATACCCAAAAAACCAAATCCTTCCAATTATAGCGATTTAAGGCTCATTTGTCTTCTACCCGGCCTTTCCAAGGTTGTTGAAAAAATTGTGGATCGTCAGCTGCGAACACACCTAACTCAATATAATCTTCTGCCTGATTCCCAATCGGGTTTTCGTCCGGGTTTTTCGTGCGCTACTTCTCTTTTAAACCTTACGGATGACATTGTGCGCTCCTCTGATTCTGGCCTTGTTACGGCCCTGGTGACACTTGACTATTCTAAGGCATTTGACACTATCAATCATCAAATGTTGCTTGCTGTTCTTAGGTTTATGGGTTTTAGCCGTGAATCCGTTGATTTCTTTCGACATTATTTGGAGGGCAGAAGTATGAGGGTGCGCGTTCGTGATTCTACTTCTCGTGAATTTTACACTCCTACAGGTGTGCCGCAGGGTAGTATTTGCGGTCCTATCCTATTTGTCCTATATACTAGTGCCTTCTCGTTACACGTCCGTTACTGTAAATTACAAACTTATGCGGATGATACACAACTATATTTGAGTTTTCCGTTGTCAGAGATTGAAAGTGCAAATAGTCGTTTAAATCAAGATATCGAACGGGTGGTGAATGTATCGGAAGGGCACGGTCTATTGATTAATGGTACGAAATCATCAGCTATTATATTCGGTAGAAGTAAAGACCTTGGTCCTGCCAGAGCATCATTGAGCATTCGTGTGGGCGGCGATGAATTGCGCGTAGTTGATACTGTAAAACTCTTGGGGGTATGGCTGGATTCGGATATGCGTTTTAATACACATATCAATCACTTAATTAGATGTTCGTATGCCACGCTAAAGTCTTTATACGCCAACCGTCACATTTTAAGCACGCAAAGTAGAGCCTTGCTCACTGACACGTTGATACTTTCTCGGTTTAATCACTGCAACGCTGTTTATGGACCTCATCTGCGTGCAGATGCTGCGGCACGAGTCCAACGAGTCCAGGGGGCGTGTCTCCGTTTGATATTTGGTATACGTCGAAATCAAAGGATCTCTTACAAGTTGCCCGAGATACGGTGGCTGAGTATGAAAGCAAGGAGAATTTTTCATGAGGGAGTATTATTTTTCAAAATTATTATGTTCAAAACTCCGGCTTACTTGTACAATAAAATCAGATTTAGAACGGACGTTCATAATATAAACGTCCGCAGAAAGAACTGCCTGTCTATCCTGCATCATAGCACCCAACTGTTTAAAAGGTCCTTTTCTTACAGAATTGCTGATTTTTGGAATTCTCTGCCGGAAGCTTTGCGCTCTAAACAATCAGTGCCTGCCTTCAAAAAGGCATTTAAATTACAATTTGGTTTTTGATGTTGCTTGAAAAAACAATTTTGTTTTTGTTCTTTTGTGTTTTGTCACGTTTTGCGTGTTTTCTCGATTTATCTGTTTTCTTGTTTTCGTCTATTCTCTTCTTATTTATAGTATTTTCGGGCGATTGCGAAAATCAGAGTTGTTTATTGTGGCGTTACCGTCACAGAACCCACCTGATGTTAAATTAAAATATTTGTAAAATCATTATATCATGGCGTTGTCATGAAAATTTATTATTGTGTACATTTTAATAAAACTTGAGTTCTTTTCCATCACTTTCATAACGAAACACGTTTTGTATATTTATCCTTAAAAAGAGGTTATAAGGATATATTTTATTTAATTCACAACTAAACAACCTCAATTGGAAACACGTTTTGTATATTTATCCTTAAAAAGAGGTTATAAGGATATATTTTATTTAATTCACAACCAAACAACCTCATTTATCTAAACCTCCTCTGACAATCGTCCGAGTTGACTTGATTTAATTAATAGTATTTTTATTTTGATATGTTATTATATGTTTGAATTAGGTTTTTGTTATCAAGTCAATAAATGAATTATTATTATTATTATATCAACAGCGAAATATGCGGTCACAGGGAAGTGATCACTCCCTAACGTGTCATCTATTGTTACACAATCTACTGAGGTTGCTGTATCCGGGGAACATACTATAAGGCCTACAACGCTGACATTGTTGGTAGGGGACAATAAAGTAGATTTATAATAATAATAATCTCTTTATTGGTTTTAGAGTTGTACAATTTACTATAATATACATATAATAACCAAACTTAATTAATACTGGACCAATTGGAACCGCCATCAGGTTACAATAATATGCTCCCTGTTCTTCCTGCCGGTCCGATAAAAATTATAAGCTAATTGAGCAATAAGCAAGAAGAGAAAAACTCCACAAAAAGAAAATTCACTGAGCAGAAAGTAAGAAAAGAAGAAAGAACTCTTCACTTTAGTACTTTAAATTAAAAATAGTAATAACTCAAATTAGAAATAACAGAATAAAATAAAGTCCCCACACACACGTCCTCATCACACATCATTGATGACACATAGATTGTATTTGTCTATAACTATTTGTAATACTTTTACCCCTTTGATTTATTAAATGTGCGCTATTCCATGCTGGTAAGTGCGCATTAAAATCCCCCATCAATACGAAATCGATGTGGGATCTCTCTGAGCAGCTCTTCCCATTCCTCTATGCCGAACTAAACATCTAGGGAGATGTACCCGGTCAGTATGATGATATTGTTTATGGACACACATATTAAGTGTACTCTATTCGCTGAAACTGAAATATTATCATAGTATGTGAAATTAATTTGACTTCTTCTGGTTTACTCAACTACATTATTTAAATTTGTAAACGCTTCTCCTTCTGACTCAGTTGCTGGGTTATGTGATTTCTTCGTAAAGATAAATGGTGCTCTAACTTCTTTTAGTAATGCTAC